ACACACACACACAATGACTTAAAATGCGCCTGATTAAGCTCCATTATACCTCGCAGCTCTGGAGTACTTTAAATAAATGGTGATATTTACATTTTTTATTCAAATATACCCTACTTCAGATGCAGACGGTGACCTGATTTGTCGCTCCTTAACTCAGTCCCTCTCTCGACAGCAATTTGCTTTATAAAGACTTTCATTTAGCAAAAGAGCCCACTCCCCCCTCTCTTCTGCTGGAGGTTGCAGACAACAAAAGAGCTCAGAGAGGTAATAATTACAGTCATTAGTTCACAAAGGAGGCAGCCAACGACTGGGGAGAGGAGGCAGACCAGTGCTGGGGGAAAAGCTTTCGAAGGCCCTTCCTCGATTAAGGGGAGGGAGACCCACCATTCAGTGGCAACCAGCCATGGACCATTCCCTTGGGTATCCTATCACCTGTCCGTAGTTTATCTGAAGTTTGCGTCGCAGGCCTGACGAACAAAGAATACTTGGTACAAATTTTCCCTTGTCCTTTCCGTGCTAAAATGTCCAAGGGAGAAGCAAAGAGAAAGGAAAAGGAGGAAACAGAAACACGAAAGATAAAAAGGAAAGGAAAGGCATCACACCCTTTCATCACGCGTTTACCATGTTTCAATCCCATTTTTTAAAAAAGATTTTGGGGAAGACGCCTGTTGCCTGCCTCCCCATTCATTAACGGAGCCAAGGGCTCTGCTCTGCAGATACCGCCCTGGAAACCTGGAGTGAAGGATCGTCCTGGTCGAGAAAGGGAGCTCGGTTCTTTTTCGAAGGCTTATGGGTGGTGGTGGACAGGTGGGTGGGGACGGGTTACACACTCCTTTTCCCTCCCTGGTCTACGGTAACTTGCTCATTTTGTCCGTGCTTGGGCCAACCCCTAACCCCGCCGCAGCCCTGCCCTCGGTCTGCACCTTCCTCTATTCCTCTCTCAGCCGGACAGCAGGCCGCGGCACAAGCAGAGGGTAAGACTGAGGCTTGGAACGCAGAGCTCTGCCCTGCCGCAGCGGGAAGTGTCCGCCTGGCCGACTCGCGGAATCTCCATGTCCTCATTTGTAAAACAAACAGTCTGTAAAGAGTCATCTCTGGGGGCCTTTGAACCGCCTTTTCGGGCCGGAGAGAACGTCGTGACGCCTTGTAGAGCAGCGCAACACACTTCTCAGCCGCTGAGCGCGTCCTCACTCCAAGATTACCCCAGCCTCCTTCTCCCCCGTGTGTGTAGCAGTTTAAGGCACCCAGAGAAAGGACAAGCCCCTTTAAGCCGGTCAGAACCCTTTTTCCAATTCAGTCTTCCGCGGAACCGCCGCGCCACCCTTCCTCACTATGCCGCGTAGATTTTTTGTTCCTTAGATGAGTTTAACCCGGGTTTTAAAATAAGGTGCAGTCAACTGAGGAATGCAACTACCCTCCCCCAATCTTAAATCGCCCGATATTTGGGGCAGCGGAGATTACCCCAAACTGCAGACTAGGTAAATCTAATAATGCAAGAATTTAGTTCAGTGTCCAGACCAGAAATTTTTATTTTTAAAAAAACAAACCCTTTGCCGTGGAGTGTTGTTGTTATGTGCCTTCGAGTTGGCCCAACTTATAGCAACCCCTCCTTGGGTTTCCAAGGCAGTATGACTACGGAAGTAGATTGCCCCATCCTCCTTCCCAGGAGTGGCTGGTGGATTTGGACCACCAGCCTTGCCGTGGAGTAGCAACGACCTATAGGACAGAGTAGAACTGCCTCGGTAGGATTTCCAAGGCTCTGGTAGCATAGTGGCTAAAGCACTTGACTGCTAACCAGAAGGCTGGCGGTTCAAACCCACCAGCCACTCCTCGGAAGGAAGGTTGGGCAATCCTACTTCCGTAGTGATACTGCCTCGGAAACCCAAGGAGGGGTCGCTATGAGTCGGGGCCGACTCGACGGCACATAACAACAGCAACAACTATTTACGGACCCGCAGAGTTGCCGGTGGGTGCAACTGCTGACCTTCCAATTAGCAGCCAGCGCTTGAACACTGCACCACCACGGCTCCTGCGAAGTTTTGTATAGGAGGGGCCCAAAGAAGCCAAACCGGCTGGGAAAGCAATGTATCTGGGGGGAACTTCGGGGGATTTGGAGATTTGTCTGGGGGGGTCGCATTTATGTCGCAAATACGTGGTTTCAGCAAGACTGTATGGGTTTTTGGGGGCGGCGGGGGTAGGCGTGGGGGTTGTTCTCTAAAAGAGATTCCCTCTACCCCCTCCCAGGGTGCCATCACCAGCACAGACCGACACCAGAAGCCACAGCCTCAAGGGGCCCAGGGTGAAACAACCCTGCAAGCCATAGACTTTGCAAGGCAGTTCTTTATTTGGTAACGTTAATAACCAGTGGAAGGGAAAGCAGACGTTTGCGAGGCAGTTCGTCTTCAAGCCTCTCCCCTCGGGATTTGTTCAGCCAGACACAACCTGCCCGGAGTATCCCGAGGGCTTGGGACAGCCGTTTTCAAAAACAGAAGAAATCTTTGAGGTCAAAGGAGAGAGGGGTCGGAGAGAACTCAGGCGCAGTAGGGCCTACAGTAGGAGCCGCAAACAAGTGAATAAAATGATACATTAGGTGGCTGGGGACAGGGAGGCCCCAACTCGCAGGGTGGTTAGAGTGGAGGGTGCGGGAGCGAGGGGAGCGTGGTCAGGGGAGGTTTTCCAAGAGCTCCCAGCTCCCCTCTCTCAGGCTGGGCCCGGCACTCGGGGGCACCTGCAGC